GCGCGCGGAGCCGCTGCCTGGGGAGACGTCAGCCGCGCAGGCAGGCAGCTCGTATTTATAGCGCCGGGGGGATGGAGTTGTCCGTGGGCTGCCGTCGGGTGTCGGGAGACGGCATGCCGGCGAGCCACGGGGGTTTGCTTTGCCTATCCGGTGTCTTTGGTGCTGGGTGATGGTTGCAGGGGGAGCTGCCCTGGCAGAGACCCCCAAATCCTCCAGAGAGCCTGAAACGTTGACCCCTGGGACCCCATGTCATGAGAAATGTGTTCATTGCTGCCATTCCTCTGACCGAAATAGCCTGGGAGAGGGCAAAACCTGCAGGCAGCACCTGGCAGAGCCTTGCAGGCAGGTGGGGATACATGGAGTGGCTGTCTTCATGCTTATATTTAAAACCTCAGCTCTTAATTTTTGCCTTAATTTTGCTTAATTTTTGCTGCTAGGATGGGGCTGAGCGTGGCATGGCCTGGGACCATCCTGGGATGCTAAACTCCCCCCCTCTCCCACCTGCAAGATACCGCACAAGGTGCCGAATGACATGAGTAATCGTTAAGCTGGCACTCAAGTGACTCATTAGTGACAATCCCTGCTGATTTATTTTTTTTCTAGCTGATATTTTCAGCTGACTTCCCTGCTCCTTTTTGGCCTGGTTTCTGGCTCGGGCTTACAGAGATGGGAGCTGCGATGCTGTCAGAAGGCAGCCAGGTAGTTCCCTGTGCTGAAACTCTTTGCAAAAAGATAAATTAAAACAAAAAAAAAAAAATTCATTTTGGGCCAGATAATGAACTTGAGGATTTCAAACCGCCCACAGCTGCCTCATCACTTGTTGGGCTGTGTCCCTTCCTCTGCCATCCAGCCTGGCCCCTCTCCCAGGGCTGGATGTAGGTCAGTTGGGAGTGGGAGGTTAAGCCCACGCCCTGCCCCACATCGCTGGATCTTCTCTTAATCTTCTGCCTTAACTGGTGCGTAAGCCTCGGGCCGTAGGAGCAGGGATTTATTTTGCTGTCAGCCAGGTGCCAGCGGTAAGCCTGGATGTGTGAACAGTGTAGAGCATCGAAGTAAATAAAGCAAACTGCTTTCCTACACTGCTGTCCTTGAGCTATTTTGGCACGGGGGGAAGGTGAAGGCGCTTTGGGGAGGTGCCTGACCACTTCACATCACTTTTTCTCTCGTTTTCCTCCAGCTTTGGTAAATCGCCGAGGTTTTTTTTCCCTACTTTTCCTCTGCAACAGAGAAGCTGAGTGTGTGCCAGCATGGCAGGTATGGGGGGGTCTCTGGGGGGAGTTGCCCCTCGCCTCTGAAGCCCATCTGGGGCTTTACTGGCCATGATGTAACCTTGTTAGTCCCCAGTGGGGTTGCAGCTGTCCATACTTGCAGGATCCATGTGGCCAGCGAGGGCTAAATTTGTCTTGATGCTTTTGGGTGGGTTGGTGCTGGTTATGAGGGCAAATCCTTAATTCCTGCTTGAAACTCATCAGTTCTTGGGGCTCAACAAGACTAATTAGGAAGCCTCTTGATTTATCTTCAGCTCTGTCCAGTGCCCAATGCTGGTGAAACTTTTTATTGCAGAAAAAGTGAACAACTTCCCTCCCCTGCCGAAGTTCATCCCCTTGAAGCCATGTTTCTACCAGGACTTTGATGCGGAGATCCCGCCGCAGCACCGTACTATGGCCAAGCGGCTTTACTACCTCTGGATGCGTGAGTCGCTGGGCGGGGAAGGGCTTGGGTGGGTTTGTGTTTGCCTTTCCCGAAGGCTGCTCCTCTGGAAGTCACCAGTTGAAAGAGCAGAGCAAGGTCAGGGGAAGTCCTTCTGCCCCTCCAGGCCATGGGGTCTCCTGTTAAAACCTGTGGGGGATGGGATGGGGGCTGCAGCATCCCATGGGCTTTGGCCCTTCCAGCCTCCAGGATGGAGGTGTGGAGCTGGCTCAGTATCTGAGGGCCATTGGTGACCTTGACATCCCGATGGAGCCCACTGCGAGGAGGAGATGGCTCGGCACCCGTGTGTCCTCCTGCCAAAGGATTTACTCCCCTTTCCGTCTTGCTCAGCTGCCAGCCTTGACCTACGAGAGAGCTGCCAAGTCTCTGCTGGCTTCCTTTGGCAGCCGGGCTGGGGAAGGGCTTTCTCTGTCACCTCAAGCTCCTTGTGAGCCTTTTGGCAGTGGCCCAAGGCTGAGATGCCGCTTGGACTGGAGGGCCAGGTTGCCTGCTCCCCGAAACGGGAGCCCGGGGCTTCCCCAAAAGCTGGGTCTTGCCTGTTCCTCTTGCATGCCTCTGTGTGCCGTGCTGTGCTAACAGAGCCGTCACTATCTTCTAACTCTTTGAACTAGCCTGGCTCTTTCTTCCTTACCATCCCTGGGTGGGGAGAAGAGCTGGAGGGACAGATCGCACCCCAACATACGTGGAAATGTTACTGAAGATGATGCTGATTGCTGTGTGCAGCTCAGAGCAAACTGACACCATTGGGGCTTTTTGTTGTTTTGTTTTTTTTTCTTTAGAAGAACTTAAGTTACTTTAATCAGGCACTTTCCCTGAACTTTGGAAGCATATCAGTGCCCAGGGAGTGCTTTGTGCTTTGGAGGCAGGTTATGAGGAGCTGAGCTGGCACCGGAGAGGTTGGGCATTTCTGCTTTTGACACAGTGCCAGGCTGGCACCCCCAGGGTGGTGCCTTGCTCCAGCTTTTGGGAGCCACGTCCCATTGGGAAGGTGACCCTGGGGTAACTTCCCCCATCGTGTCAGGGGGGTTAGCGTAGCTTTTCTGTGAAGGGGGAGGGGAAAAAAAAAAAAAGTTGTGCTTCCCTGGCAAAGCTGTCTTGGGGGTGTTAAATCCCCTCCCCATCTCAATCTGGCTGTTCTTGCTCTGCTTAATTTAATAGAGCTCGGTTCTTGCTCCAGCCTCTCCCACAGCACAAGCACCAGCTCTGTGAGCCAATCGCCTGTCTGTTGGCTTCTGTCTCTGGAGCTCCTCTCTGGATCATTTTCTCCCCAACTCCCCCGCAAACACCCAGCCAGACACAAGCGCAGAGAGGCTGAAAGGTTCCCTCGGTGTCCTTGGGGGCTCTAGGGAGCAGCGAGTGCCCGGTCAGCCCAGCCAGCTGAGCTCCTTGTCTTGCCAGCTGCAGCTCTCTTGCGGGTGGTGGTGGGAGGGTTTTAATTCTCGTCGAAATAATGAATCATTCTCAAAAATCGGAGGCGTCAGAATGCAGATGAGCCTTCTCTGCTTTGTCCTGTGTCTGCTAAGCTGGGCTTCATAGTAATAGCCCTTGTATGGCTTAACCCTGAGCAGGGGTGGGAGAAGCAAACATGCCACCCCCCTGAACTGGTGGGGTGGGGGCCAGGAGTTCAGGACTTCAGCTCTCAGCTCAGGGGGTGTTAGCTTGGGGAACTCTTGCACAAGCTCCTTCAGTGAAACTGTAGCTGGAGGCATGCGAAAAAGCTTCACTTCGATTCCTCCAGTTTCCTTCGGTTGGTGGAAACGTGCCCTGGCTTGCCAGCAGTGGGAGGATATGGCTCTTTCTCATCCTTGGAGCCCCACAAGCCCTGGACCCGCTAAAGACATTACAACTCTGAGTGATGTTTTCTTTTTTTTTTTTTTTTTTTTTTTCCCCCCCTTCCTCCTCAGCTGAGGTTAGACCCCCTTTGGCTGAGCCATCCTGGGGATGCTCCCTGGACTCAGCCAGCTTAATTTAAGGGAAATCCAGTTAGGGTAACACATTGCTGGCCAAAGCCACTGGAGGTCAGCCCCACGTGGGCATTCCTGGGGTTGGGGTCTCTCGTATCACACTGACATCCTTCCGTATGTGCTACTGTGCTCCCTCTGTGTGTGTGTGTGTTTGCAGTGAACAGCATCACCTTGGCGGTGAATCTCGTTGGCTGCCTCGCATGGCTGATTGGAGGCGGTGGAGCTGTTAATTTTGGACTGGCAATTCTCTGGCTCATTCTCTTTACACCCTGCTCCTATGTCTGCTGGTTTAGACCTATTTACAAAGCTTTCAAGTAAGTGGTCACACCTGAGCCTGGCTTCCCATCGCCTTTTTTTTGTTTGTTTTCCTTCCTAAACAGTTTGCGCTTAGCTTGGGGTATAGCCTGAATATTTGGGGGAATTTCTGCTCTTTCTGTCCAGCCCTTTAGCTTTACTTTCTAACCTTCAAAGCAAGGGTGCTTGGGATTTCACGAGGGCCAAAACCCCAACCCTGCAATGTAAAGACACCCTACATGTGCCTCTGGGCAGCATCAGGGGGAGTGTTGAGGATGCAATTGCCAACTTTCCCTCCCCTCCTGCCCATCCTTGAGGCTTCTTTTATATTTTTCCATGAGTCCTTGAGGTGCTTGTATTGATTACCCATGCTGCTGAGGTCGATCCCCAGTGCAGTATCCCCAAATCTAGAAAACTGGGGATGTATTTCTTCCCCGTATGGAAAGGTCGAGTCTGATGGTGGGGCAGTGTGAGCTGAGAGCCGTGTCTGAACACGGATGCCCTCTCGCCTGATGCACTGAGCTGGCTGAGCCATGGGGAGGGTCTGATGCCCTGTGGCTTTCCCAGGTGCCCCTTCACCACCTTCAGCCTCTCACAGTTTCTCCCTTGCCTTTAGTTTCGCTCTGGTGCCTGCTGTCTGCAGGCAGCTCTGCTTCTCACCACACTCTCACTAAACCACAGCTGCTTCTGCCCCGAAAGGATCTGAGGTGTGGGAGCATCTCCTTTCCCTTGCAGTGCAGCAGGGATGGAGGTATAGGGAGTGACTGAGCCTTCTCTTGCAGGACAGACAGTTCCTTCAGCTTCATGGCCTTCTTCTTCACCTTCATGGCCCAGCTGGTGATCAGCATTATCCAGGCGGTGGGAATCCCTGGCTGGGGTGTCTGGTAAGGAAGACGCTGGTCTCGTGTTGTGTGCAAGGACAGTCACCGTTGGGCTGGTGCTGTGGCCTCTTGGTGTTTTTAACATCCTCGGTGCTTCAGTCACTTCTCTCCTTGGGGCAGATGGTTTGAGGAGCTGGGAGGGATGCTGGCAGGCTGCAGTGTGCAGAGCCAGATGGGAAAGCCCCAGGCTTTTGAACGGACTGGCTGTTTTGATCTCCTTGCAGCGGCTGGATTGCAGCAATTTCCTTCTTCGGGACCAACGTGGGGTCGGCTGTGGTGATGCTGATCCCCACCGTCCTGTTCACGGGGATGGCAGTCTTCTCCTTCATTGCTCTCACTATGGTATGGGAAGAGGGGGGTGCCGCATTGCTTCAGGGAGCCCTTGCTGCTACCCTGGAAGGTCAGCGTGAGCTGCAGTCGCTCAGCGCCTCTGGATTTTCTCTTTCCAACCTGCTACAGGTGCATAAGTTTTACCGGGGGAGCGGTGGGAGCTTCAGCAAAGCCCAGGAGGAGTGGACCACGGGGGCGTGGAAGAACCCCCACGTCCAGCAGGCAGCACAGAACGCGGCGATGGGGGCGGCGCAGGGGGCCATGATGCAGCACGAGACGCAGTACTCTGCCACCCCGAACTACACCTACTCCAATGAGATGTGAGCAGCAGGACTCTGTCCTCGGGCAAAAGATCTGGGGGGGGAAGGGAGGAGGAGGAAGAGGAAAGCTGAGCCGAGTTTCTGCAGCTATTTCAGAAAGTCGAAGTGTACCATAACGGTGGTTCTTTTCCCGTTCTTTGTAACGAGATCGTTTTGGATTTTTTTCTTCTTTTTTTCCCCCCCCTGTTATTGTCTTGAGCTCTTCTTTTCTCCTTTATTTTTCATTCTGAAGAGGCCGTTGAGTTGACCTGCAGGGCTCTTGTTGTGCGTGGTAGTAAGTGTACATTCATGTGTCTTCTTTTTTGCTGTGAAATAGTGTATGGTGGTGGTTTTTTAATTACTGTGGTGATAGGTGTACGTTAGAACCACATCAGCCAAAAGCCCCCCTCCACCCCCAAAAGGGAAAGATAAAAATACCAACCAGCACCCATCTCCCCTCTTAGAATAAGCCCTGAACCACAGGTTTCCGATGTGTGCGAGTTTTCTCTTTCAGTTGGTAGTGTCCAGCCACTTGCCACTGTCTCAGCAAGGGCAAGCAATCCTGGGAATTCTCCCTTTTCTTTTGCTTTTTAACTAGCAGGTGGCTGGCTCATTTAGTGTTTAAAAAAAAAAAAAGAGGGGAAGAAACCCCAAACCAACCCTCAATCCTGCTGTTGATCTGCTGGAAGCCAAGAGATTCCTAATCTACACCCTGGCTCAGGATCTACAACTTCTCTCAGTGTGTGGTGTTGTAAATGAGTAGTTTACATTTTGACGTGGAAGACCAGTATTTGCGCGTGACTGGGCAGGAGCCCTGGCGCACTCTGTGTGTGTGTGTGTGCGCGCGTGCAAGCGTATGTGTTGAGGAGCGAGGACAGGTTTTCCCTGCGGGATACAACTGTCCTGTTCCACATTCTGCATCCTGAGTCTGTTTTTTAAAGGCTTCTATTTTGAAAAGCGGCTAGAAAATTGGCAGAGCGTTTCTCAGAGGACCTATTCTTGGGTAAGGCTCTGGGTCAAATCTTGCCATCCCGTATGCAAGCACATACAATCAATCTCACTGACTATGTAAATAGTGAAGCCAAGATTTGTCCCTGTTAGCTTTTGAGGCATGCACTAATTTAAGGCTCTTTAGGAGACCTCCAGGCTGGTGGGAAGGATTCCCGCTCACTTGCGCTTCTAAAAAGCGCAGTGAAATGTGGCTGTGTTTTTTCCCGGTGCAGAAATCCCTGCTCCTGTCAGCCCCAAATCCCTGCCCAGTTAGGGGAGGTCGAGCTTTAAATAACGATCCTGCACCTTAGCGGGAGGCAGCTGAGCTCAGACTAACACCTCTTGGGCTGTGGCAGCTGGGAAGGTGACTGGCAGACCCTGGAAAAGATCAGTTTGTAAATGGGAGCTGATGGATGCTGCAGGGCAGGAGTAGGGAAAGCTCCTTCTCAGAGATGCTTTTCAGACTCTAAATGCACTTTAAACAAGCCAAATTTTTCTCCAAGTCCTAGAAAAGCAGCCCAAATGGAACCCGATCTGGCCCCTTGGCTCAAGTATCTCCTGCCCGCTGCAGACAACAAGCTCAGTGTGCCACCGCTGATGCCTACAGCTAGCCAGGGCTGTGCGAGTCCCCAGCCCCTTGCCCCCCATCCCCTCTAGCTGTCTGGTGATGCTTGTCTGTGACTCCTGCCCACGAGAATCACCCCAAAGAGGAACTTCTCTTTTCCAGCAAAGCACACCAAGAATAGTTTCCTTTTTAAGGGTATCACTTCAGTCACTCTGCAGTAGGCAGTCGTCTCTTGACAAGACTAAAATGCAACTAATGATAAAATGCCTGTCTGTGTGTGTGTGTATATATATATGTATAAAATGTAAGGAGAAAAGTAATCCTTTGCTGAGCCTATTATGTACTTAATCAGGTTTAAATATTGTGCAATTCATTGATAGCTAGCCTAAAACTTACTATGCCAAATCACGTGCTGTCATCCATGTCTAAGAAATGATGAATTAAGTGACTTCACCTTTTGCATTTACCGTAAGATGCATAAATAATATCTGTAACAAGCTGTAACTAACAGACATTGCTTCAGCATCTAACCCTCCTCTCCGGTGCGTCTCCTAAATGTGCGAGCATGAGTGCTGACCACTGAGGTTCGCCCCTGCGGCTCCAGCCTTCCTTAGTTGTAGCTGACACCATCAGAGGGACGCCCAGGGAGTGGCTGCTTTTAAGCTGTATCCGGAAAGGGCTGGGGACCACCCGCCACGTGCTGCCCCCCGACCTGTCCTGCTTCTCCTTTGGACAATAAATGAGCGGTCCTCTTAACCTGCCTCTCCCCCTGCCAGCTCTCTGCGGCTGCCCTGAATCCTGTGGGAAAGGTTTCACGCCGCCCTGGGCTCATCCGTCAGCCAGAGCTGCTTCCTGGGGGGGGATCCAGGAGTAGCTGAAAAGGCCCCCTTTTCTCTACCCTGTTCCCCCTCTGCTTTTTTTCCCCCTAGCAGTGAGTTTTCAATTGCCCTCCCTCCTCTCTAAAACCTTGCCGTGAACTCGGATCCTTAAACAGCTTTCCGAGGAACGCCAAACCGCCTGCCTGCTGCTGCAGGGCTCCCCGGCGTTGCTGGGGTGCCGAGGGGCGCAAGCACACCCCCCCCCCCCCCCCCGCCGGGCCAAAAGCCCCTCTCGGTGCTTCAGGCGCCGGCAGACGGAGCCGGAGCCGCCCAAACCCAGCGCTCCGGGGCCCCGGCGGGGTGGAGGGCAGGGAAGGGCAGAGCAGGTCCCCCCGGGGGCCGAGCAGGGGCTGCCCGGGCCTGGGGAAGGCGACCGCCGCCATGTCAGCACCTCAAGGGCCTCCGCGGCGCGCATGCGCAATCGGCACCAATCAGCGCTGGAGGGGGTGGGCGGTGTTTCCCAGCGTGCCCTTTGCCTTCCGGGGCGCGGAGGGGTTTCGTGCCCCCGTTGCTTGGCGATGGCGGGTCGAGGCTTCGGCGGGAGTAGGCCGCGACCCGGCCCCTCTTGAGCGGGCTCCGTCGTGTCTCTCTGCCGGTATATAAACGTTGTTTGTTTGCGTTTGGGAAATCCCCGGGGTTTCTCGGTTCTGTTCTCTGCCTCAGCGGCCTTTACGAGGCTGTTTTAAGCGTAACTGCGGCATTAAAAAGCTAATAAAATAACTAAGTAGGACTGTAAGCTGCTTGCTTTCTAATGGCTTCTTGGCTGATTCCCCAGAGCTGGATTTGGGTAAGGGGAAAGCGCGGCCCAGCATGTCGCGCTTTTGTTTTGTCACTAATAGCCCTTTTTGAAAGCTGCCTATTAAAAAATTACATCTTATTCCCCAGGCTTTAAGATGTGGAAGCTTTGGCGAATTAATTGTCATTTAGTAATCATAAGGGAAGTGGATGTTTTCCTTGCTGTGATGGCATTAACTTAATTTTAATTAGATATAGATAAACATGTAAAGTGTTGCAGTAGTGTTGAAATCGCCTAGCCTTCCCTCTAACTACTCTTCCTAATCAGTGCCTAGATGCTCAGGCTGAAATCGTGCTCTTACTCTGGCAATTTTTTTTTATAAACACACTGAGAAACCTCAGGGGCCCGAGTTAAACACATTAATTTGAAGCAGAGCATGGAAAAAGAACATGTTATTGCTGTTGTGTTGCAGCGGATGGGTGCGAGGTGGTTAGAAAGGATGTTTGTGCTCCTGTGTCTCAGTGGCTGGGTGCAGAGGTCAGACTTCCACCTAACTGCTGCAGGAGCATGATCTGAATCGCCCTGTGAAGGATCCTAAATGAAACTTGCTGCTGAATTATCCCGGGGGCTGACCGAAGGGGTAAAATTTCTGTCTCTCAGGAATACAGCCCCCTCACTCCAACATTCAAGTTGGTACCAAAAATAAGGGCAGCATAAACCTCTCTTTCTTCCTTTTTGTTCTACCCAAAATGCTTCCAAGTAACTTCCTCCAAATAACAAGGATGTCGGTAAAATTCAATGAACTTTACCAAATCCCAGTGTAATGTCTTTGCTAGAAACTAATTTTTCAGATTTTTTCAAGAAGTGAATTTGCCCTTTGCTAATTGCTCATTAAGCAGAGATTGCTCACGTCGATTCTGCGGAGGAACACTTTTCCTCACCAGAACAGTCAGTTGTGACTTATCCGTGTGGCAGCAGTGCAGGGAAGCTGGGAAGGAGGCAGGAGACCTGAATTAAAGCTGCTTGCTCAGCCTGCCTTCCGAAGCAGCCGCATCAGCCTGCAGATCGCTTTGCTCAGCGCTGGTGGGGGAGTGAGCAGTTCTGACTTTCACGTCCCTGAGAAGGTGTTTTCACTCGGTGGGCTGTTGTGTTCTACCTCTTACTCACTGTTTTGGGTTTTTTCCCTGTCTGCTAGGGAGTAGTTTCTAGTGCTGCTGTAAATACATAGTGATCCAGTGGGAAGTAAGATGATAATGCTTGCCTCAGGGCCCCAAAATTTTTAATTATTAAAATGTCTCCCTGCTTTTATTACTCACCAGAGAGTGCGAAGGGAAACCAACTCGGCTGGGGGTTTGTGTCTTCCCAGCAGTCAGTGTGAAAGGTACGTTTATGGTAAAATCTGGACCATGTTCCACGTGTGAGAGCATATCTTCGTTCTGGGGGCCATGGGCTTTACCAGAACACTTTTGTGGCCTGCCTGCGCAGATTTTAGCATTCTGTTTACCAATATCGGAGAGAAAATTGTAATTAAACAGGAGTAGGCTACTGCTATGCTTAAAGGTCTGCTGATGATTGAAAGTGTTGCGGATCGGGATCTGAGTGTTCATCCTCAGACTGAATTACTCTGGGTCTTGCATAGTCCAGGCTTAGATCCGTGCCCTCAGGAACAGTTGGAGCCTTGCTGTGCTAGCCTCACTTGGAGGCACCATTAGTCAAGTGTCTTTGTTTTTCTGTGCTTGCAGAGTTTGATTGGAGCATGGAGCCCGTCTCCCCACCAGAACGAGGGTTTCCTGCAGAAAAAAGGTCATCTGTGCCGCAGAAAAAATACCGTGTCCTGGTGGGTGTGACTGGAAGTGTGGCTGCCCTGAAGCTGCCTCTGCTCATTGCCGAATTGCTGAAAATCACTGGGGTGAGTAAATCTATTGGTAGAGTATTGTAAAGTTGGTGTTACCCTGTTTCTCTTTTTGAGGAGAGATTATGTGGCTTCTGTTGAAAAGAAAAGTTCCTTCTGGCTTTGAGCCCTTTAGTTAGAAAATTTGTTGGGGGAGGATTCCTCCTGTTTTTAAAAATCAATTAATACTTTTTCCTATCATTTCATACTTCTCTAGACTTAAGAGTTAGCTTTACATCAGGCTTAAAGAGCAGTAACTCTTCCTGGATATTTCAATAGGCAGACATTTAGATTAATGAATATGACAGTACTATTGTTCAGCTCAGCTTGCTTAATTCTCTCAAAAATGATTGAATAGGTCCTTGCTTTGTTTTTCTTTTCTTTCTGGAATATGTCCTTGTCGGTCAAATTATTAGATCTGGCTACAGACACAGGTGATGCTTTCTGGAACTTGAAATCTCTAATTAGGATATTGCAATTTTCCATAGGTGAGGTGTGGAGTTTGCAAAAATGGACACTGCTGTCTGACCAACAAAGGGAAACCATCTCTTGTAAAAACAGAAATAGAAAATACAAGCTGCTAGATTTTTTTTTTTTCTGGAGTGTATTTGCTGGTGTAACAGAGGTGTCCAGCAGAGGCCACTAGTGACTAGAATCAGAGAGGGAGATGTGCTAACTTTTGCTGTGGAATAAAGTTAGAGGAAAACGTAGAAAACCTTTAGCTTTTAAGAAACTAAGTGAATGTTTTGGAGCAGTAAAATGAAAGAGTGGCAGGAGCAAGAGGGTGTACTTAAATATGCAGATATATTGGTTAGATTGCTTAATGAATATTCTTTTGCATGATTTCAGAGGCTTGACCTTGTAGATACATTAACATAGAGTCAGAAGAGGTGCATGACGTATCTGGTTTATGTTGATATCCAAGCTGGAAAAGGGTACTGAAGATGTGGCGAGCTGTTGGGCACCGGTTCTGCCAGCTGGGCTGGCATTGTGGGTTGCAAAGAGGGGCCTCGGTTAATTTATTACTTGACCTGAAATGATTAGTGAGGCCAAAGGTCCTAGCATGAAGTAAGTGGGCCAAAGAAAAGTGATACCAAGGAAGGGGGGTGACCAGACCAGAGCCAGGGATATGCACCTCTGTCTCTTGGATTGGCTTCGCTGTTGCTTCTTTTCCTTTGCTCTTGGTGCTTGGAACATCCTTCTTTGCAGGTGACAGGAAGAATGCAAACGATGCACTGTAGGAATCTAGGTCAAATGTATTCCTTTGGTCTGAACATTTGATTTAAAATTAAAAACTGCAGATGGCTGGACCTAAATTCTCTGTGAAGGCCCATAGGTTCTGTGACATCCATTGTAGGCTTTGTGGTCTCTGGTTTTAGGCTTTAGTTGCTTAAAAAGTGAAAGTGAAGCATCCAGTCCAGGAGCTTCTGGTACTTAATTTATTAATTAAAATTATTTATTTAGTAATTTCTGATGTGATTTCAAGGCCTGACCTAAAGCCTGCTGAGGCAGTGTAACTTTTCCATTGAGTTTGTTAAGTCCTGCACGAGCCTGTTGCATCAATTTCTTTACTGGTGGAATAGAACTTTAAAAAGCCATTGATGGAAGCAGGGCAGGAGCAGAGGAAGGCTTTGATACTAAAGGAGATGTGGTCAGAGTGTTGAACCAGAGTTGTTAGTTTAAATTGATGTTTTGGCTAAAATGATCCTTGGTGAACAACTTGGCAATATGATTTTGCACTCATTAAACTTTAACATCTCCTTGAGGGTGATAATGGATGTGACTACATCTTACTGCCTTTTGTTTAACCTCTTTGAAGATCTAGGAAATTTAGACAGCATCAGCTTACACCTTTCAGGTTATTACCCTTGCACCTGGTGCTGTGGGGAGACAGCACATAGTGTCTCATCAGGACACTGTGGGTAACTCTCATAGTTGTGCTACACTCACACACATTGTCTCAGGCTGATTCCTAGAATTTTTGAATGGCCTGGCAGGAATATGATGACAAAAATCCTGTTGGCAGGATATTGGTTAGTCACAAAGGCAATGACAGACCTTTCTGTGGGCGAAATGTATTGCTCTTGAAGGTACAGGATGTCATCTGGACTTCTAGGTTTAATCACGTCATGTCATTTCATTGTGCTCCTGCCAGGTAGCCTCTACATCAGCTTGTAGGTGCCATTTAACAGGGGAGCTACTCATTCTCTTCTGCAGCAGTTGTTACTGAAGCTCAGTCTGCTTGTAAAGATTTTGCTGTCAATACTGAGAAAGTGATGAAAAAAATCATACACACACCCTTACCCCAAGCAGAAATGGCTGTAACAGGAGAATCATCTAACAGAGACCAGCAATATTGCCTGAACACAGGAGAGCAGTTTGGCAGTAAAATTTACACTGGAGAATTGGCTTAAGTGGTCCAAGTAAAAGAGCTCTAACTAGTCTAAACTGTCTCCCATAAAGGAGTTTCTGAGTGTGGCTAGACTGCCTTTACTGTTTAAGGAGGGATATATCCACAGGCAAACAGAGGGTGTGCCAGGTAAATAGAAAGAAAAAACAATGTAGGCTAAAGTGATCTTGAGAACACTGATCTCTTTCCAACGTAGCTGGAGGGACTTGAAGGACTTGCTCAGAACAAGGGAACCAGGAGCCCACCCCAGCAGAAAACCTTAATTAGGGAGAATATTTAACTAATAGAGCAACTTTCTTGGGGGAGTGGTGGAGTCACCACCACTCGGAGTCCTTCAACATCCCTCTGGTATGCTCTAGCTTGTAGTGGGTTGGATGCAGTACTCGATAGCCAGCTATTCCCTATTCATGGGCTTACGCTTTGAAGAAATATGTTTTTTTTTAAGACCGGAGATAGTTTCATAACCGTCTTTAAAAAAAAAAAAAACCAAAACACAAAACAACCAGAGTGTCTTTTGGGGATTTTTCTGTGTCCTTTAGCCTTAGAGAGGTATTTCTGGTCTAGATTAGAAAATTTTGAATAGTGACGCAATTGAAGTAGCAAGTGACAAAATATGTCACATGGTAGATCGAGTTGTATCACCTAAAAATCCTTATACCGTTATGGCTAACTGTAAAATAAGAATACCACTAACAAACATCACTGCTGAAAACTTGTAGTGCAGACCTGGCCTACTGGTACCATTTCAGAGAGCAGACATGCCCCTTGAAACTGCACGTTGCTCTTTAAAATCACCAAATAAACAGTATCTTGCAGACTGCGAGGTTAACACCTCACTGAAGCCCATGGCATGGCAGAGAGCAGCATTAGCACCTTTGTGGGTGTCACTGCGTGGCTCCAAACACCTTCCTGTGAGGTGAAGTTAATATGGAAACAATACGGTTGATTGCTGTGAATATGATCTTCACACTCGAAAGCACTAGAAATGCAGCTGTGATTCCAAGTTAGGGTCACTTGAAAAAGAGCAGACATTTACAAGAGGCAAAGAACCAAACATATAGTACCAAATACTGCTGTTATGTGCAGCTATATTTTCCCATTGCTTTTTCTTCAGGAAACAGGAAAAATTACCAAATTGACCATGATATGCTAAGGCTGGGATTTTCCACTGCTCCCAGCTGTTATTCTAGTCATGTAGGGTGCAGATAATCAACAGTGCTGCATTCCCAGTCAAATAGATAGTGTTGGGGAGATAGGTTAACATGTTTTGTCACTTCAACCACTGCTGTTGAAGATAGCTTCTTGGAGGTTGGAGGTTTTCAGCAGTCTGTTTTAGCAAGAGTGTGCAGACTAAGTGCTTCATCAGTTTTGTACCTCAGGCCACAGTTTTCTAGTGGGAAGGAGTTGTTGGTGAGGCTGGTTTCTCCCCATCTCTCTGTTGCGCTAATAGGACCATGCAGTGGGTTGCACTGTGAACTGCTTGAAGGAGCAAACAGTGGTTGAAAGTGGGCAATAACAAAGAAAAGGGTTATTTTTTGCTGTAATCAATGGCCTGAAGTGCATCTTCCACGTTACCAGTCTTTTTGGACCACTCCCTCCATGTGTTGGCCCATTTGTTGACTGGTTATAAGGTACATCCTTGGGAGAAATTGCAGATGGAAGTACAGTTGCATGTCCTGCATGGCTGATCAGTGCATGCAGAGCCACTTCGACACTGACTCTGCTTTGCTGCTGATCCCAGTGTGTGCAGAGCACCTCCGGTTCACTGCATGCAGCAGGCAGCTGTTTGTGACATTTGTCAGAGCTACAGCTTTGAGCAGGTCACGCAACACGTAGATACCAGGAAAAAAACCCCTTTTTCCACTTGTTAAGATTTCTGTGGGAGGAAGTGAAAGGATCTCGTGTCATAGGGCACCTTAGCACCTCATAAGTGTGTATGTCAAATAAACATCCAAGGGACATAATAGTGTTTCCCCAGTATATACCATATAACTGAAGGTTGCACTGGCTTTCAACGAAGCAGGCAGGTTTATCTAAGATTTTGCAGAGAACCTTCATACACTTTCACCCAGTCTCTCTTTCCTTTGTGGAAGCCGCTGGTTTACTGTTTTGACTGCACAGAAACCCTGGGCTATGAACATATCTACCCAGAGGTTTTCCTCTTTCCAACAGCTTACCTTGGTAGGAAGAATAGCTGGAAGACACAGCTCTGACTTGCTTCTGGTATTTTTGCCCCTGGCTGGAGCAAGTCTGATTAACACGGTTTTAAAAAGTAGCATCCAGTAGTCTGTAGCTACCTCTCCACCTTTGGCACCAGGAGATCATTGAGAGAGGGGCAGGGGCAGAAAGAGACAGAGGGAGGTGCAAAAGGTGGTCCATTCAACCAAGAAACTGTTCTCTCTCTTCCAAAGCCACTCTTTCCTGTGAAGCCTTGTGTAGCAGAGGTGGGCTGGCTTTGCGCTGGTGCTGCTGAGACCCAGCTAACCTACTTGTCCCTCAGCAGTTCTTTTGATCACTCAGCACTGTGCTTTCTCTTGGCACAGAGCTTCCTCTTGGCTCCGAGTGTGGGAAGAATGATCCTGCAAGTGCCGTGTAGGCATGCCACCCCTCGGCAGTCCTCTGTGCTGTGGTTAAGGGAATCCACTGAGGCAAGATGCTCTCCTGCTCCCTTTGGCAGGCATGTTTTGAGATTAAAGGGCATCTTTCACAGAGCTTTGGTTTGCTGCTTCTTACTGTCGCTTTGAAGTTCTGTACAGAACTGCATCTCATTCTGACCTGCTCTGTCCTCTCTGCTGTCCCCACTGTGAACTGGCCATGTGAACGTGTTTGGCGGGTGGTGACTCAGCACCTGCCCATTTTAGGGTGGCATGAAATGAGTCTTTGGCTCCTGTGAGTACCTGTGGTGGCCTGGCCTTTCAGCTGTGAATAGGGGACGTTCCTCTGAGAATCTACGTAGCTTTCAAAATCTTTGCGGCTGGAGCCCTCCTGCTCTACTCAGCTTTACAGGATTATCCTCAAGTCTAACCATTGGTCTTTCTTTCTTTTCTGATTAGGTCGAAGTGAAAGTGGTCACTACTGAGAGAGCAAAGCATTTCTACAATGCCCAGGAGATTCCTGTCACCCTCTACAGTGATGAAGATGAGTGGCAGGTGAGTTGTTCTTCCTCTGGAGACTGGAAGGGCTTCTGTCCTGTCCCCACTAGCCACATGTTTTGTAATTCAAGTAGTTTTGTCATGCACTCGTGCCTTCAACTTCCAGAAGGCCAATGGGTCATGCTTCAGAAAAAAAGCAGGCTCCCTGGGAGATTCACTTAGTTGTTCAGGTGCTGAACAACAAATAGGAGCATTCCTCTAAGTTTCTCTGCAAGAGACCGCATTTATTTATTTTTTAATCCCAGGCCAAGACTCACTTCTTTGTTCTAGTAATGTATGCTTTGGAATATGGCTTTCAAAGAATGTGGTTCCAACCATGCTGTAAATGAGGAATAAAAGAAAGGCTGCCCTGACTGTACCGGATGATTTTGTACCGCCCTAGCAGACTTGCAGGAGGCAATGAGGGTAGAAGTGGTCTCTTACCACGCTGGGCTCAGCTGCTATCCGCAGCTCTGAGAGGAGTATCAGGAAATGTCAAGAAGGCCACTGCAGAGTCGCAGTGAGGGTGTTTGGTGCTTGTCGTGAGTCATACTTGTCATGAAGGCAACAGCTTAATTCTCCTTAACGCTACGTATTCTGAATCTACAGGCATCGCTGACATTCACAAAACTACCTACATTGCTTTAAAACTCAGGCTGGTGTCTGACTGGATAACCTTGTGCTGGTAGGGCCACCCTGATGTAGCAGTGGAGAGGAAGGCCAGTACCTGGAGATGGCGGGCACCAGTGTGACAGGTGGCTGGAAGTTAGAGAGGTTCTCCTGGTGGAAGTAGTGTTTATCTCAGAGGTGTCTGCATCTGTGCTCCTGCGCATACATAGAAGAGCCATTCCAGTAAGGGATAGCTCAGTTGTCAGGGCTGTGAACATCTCTAGACGTTGTAAAAGGGCTTTTTCTCCTGACTACAGTTTTGCTGACACGCGTTGAGAGTATGAAGAGGTTCATTTTATAAACATCTTTTTTTTTTCCTATACATTTTATCTCTACTTTGCAGTACCGATCTGAGTACAAGGTGATCTACTCTTTACCAGTACTCTTGCCAGTGTGCTCACACATGAGGATCACTTCTGTGTGGAGAGAGGCATGCTAATGGCAATGGCCAGGAAGCTTTCTGACTCACCTAGGAGAGTGGTGGAGATCTGCTGGGCCCCAGGGTGCTACAGCTCCAGGCAGTTATTTCTGAGGAACCCTTGGTGGGGTGATAGAAGAGGTGCAGGTCAGGCTTTGAGGTCTGCTGGCACACTGGAAGGCAGGCATGGAGCTGTTGTGGAGTGGTTTGGTCTGCTTAAAGAATCACTTTCAGTGGTATTAGTAAATATGATTTAATAGGAATTTATATAAAAGTGCGACTTCACAGAATTCAATGGCAAGGTTCACTCTATTGCTTAGTACATGGATGAAATGTACACAGGAAAATTAAGTTAGAATCAGACTAAAATTAGGTATACAGAGACCGAAGACAAAATAGGGTAAAAGAGAAATATACAAAGAAAAATCGAGTTAGAATTGATGTCTCATGATTTGTACAGAGATCAGGAATATAAAAAGGGTAAGGGAGACCCTCCTGCTGAGTCACGAGGTTCAGAGAAGACCCCCTTGCTTTCTGGGGGAGTCGGCTGTCGGAGAGGGAGACCTGTCGGAGTCTAGGTGCGGCTGGATCAACTCCTAGTCCCAGACTTGGTCAACGGTTTATATCTAAAGGGATTATGAGTATAATAACAGCCTGAGATTCATTCACAGTTGAATGAAGTTCACGACAGTAATCTAAGTATAGATTTGAAAAGCAATAATTTGTAATATACTTGCTATAGAATATTCAGATTAGTATACACACACATCCAGAAAGGCACTAAGAGATGTACATAAGCAAGTTAAAAATTCCCCTCGAGTTCAGTGAAAATATTTACGTTGAATGCTTCAGCATCTTTCTCAATGAATGAAGGGTCAAGCCTCAAGGAGCGGAGAGAATTAGCCCAAGTCTCATTGGCTTTTGGCGACAGACCTCCGATCTTTGCAAACAGAAAAGTTTGCGAGCTCTGAGAGGCGTCCCACTCAGAGGGAGATGCTGGTTGCAGCCCACTGCGGTCCAGGAGACCTCAAAGGGTCTCAGTACCACTGCTTGTAGGTTCAGGAGGTGATTGGCTTTAGTCATCAGCAAATTACTGGGATTCCAGCTGTGCTGGTACCGTTCCACGTGAGTTACGATTCAGATAAGGAATGCTCTGGGGCTGTCAGAGAATGACTTAAGATTCAGATACGGGATGCTCCAAGGTTGTCAGGGGAGGACTGGGATGTCTCAAGGTTGTCGGGAGAGAACAAATTATCTCTACTGTCGTTTTTTTATTTTCACTGGGTAGCAGGAGTCCTTGAAACAGTCCGCATGACTCCCTGTCTTAGCCATGTGAGGGTTCCTGGTACGGTCAAGGGACACTTAACTGCTTGACTCATTATACTTATGCTAAGGCCTAGTGAGACTTCCTGAGTTCATAGATCAGCCCAGAGAGGGGGAAGAAACGCACTGCCACGGGAGTCCTTATAACATGCCGTTCTGACAGAAGGGAGGGAAATAAGCCTGCTCCACGTCTGTTTGTGAGATATTTTATTCTGAAAATAAAACTACAATTTTCAGTGCTTCTAGAAAAAAATAGACGTGAGTGGAGAAGCTGGGAAAGGTGTCAGGAAGCACCAGCTTTCCGGATGCTGTCTTTTTGTTGTGGTTTCCAGTGACTCAGAGAAGGAACAGTTTGTGGCCCTGATGCACCTCTTGCTGGCCTGTGGTTGTGTGTGTCCTCTGGGGATTGAGCACCTGATGCTGTTTGCTGCCTCTGTTGACACTTTCCCAGTTAACTGTGCTATTAAGAAAAGACCAGGACTCTTTCGAGCAACTCAGAGCTTTAGTGGAAGTAGAAATATTCACTTAAGAGCCAAGAGAGGATGATAGTGCCCAGCTGGCTAAACCTCATCCATCCTAGAGAAAGCCAACAGGACTGTTCCCTACTGTACTTAACAAGGGTTTACTTTGCAGCTGTGAGTATGCGTAGGGGTATGCATCCTAACTGAAAGTGACTTGTGCAGTTAGGGGTCTATACCTCGTTAAAAGCCGGTGGACAGCTTCACTTCAAAGAAATCTGAAGCTTATAAATCACATGGGTTCCTCAGGAAATGTGACCCCTGGCTTTGTCCTGTCTGGCTTCAGTTGGCTGATAGGATGGAGCTCTTTTCTCCGCTCAGGTATGCTGTGTGTTGGGGGAACTCTTATAAACAATTCTGAAGCTGAGGGATTGTGTGAATGGGAAGTATATGGTGAAAGCTCTTTCCTGTGAGTTGAAATCTGTCATGGTTGGACGTGTGAATTGTCTTTGTGGGGAAAGGATACCCATTTGTAAAGCGCTGAGCACATCGGTGCTGTCTGTTAACTGTGCTTTCTAAATGTAGCTGCAACACGGCCTTCACTGGAGGAGGGGGGAAAATCAGAAAAGTGAGCACTGTGGCTGCAGTCCCTGGTTCCCCACGCTCTCAGATCTTGCTTGATATGAGAGTAATTCTTTCCCCTTAAGTTTACATGGTGGTTACTAATGTGGTATTGATAAAGTGACTGTTACTCACAGTGTTCATTGTGAGGGTTCCATAATCTGCATCTTGTCTCATCCACAGCTGTGGAAAGGTCGTTCAGACCCAGTCCTGCACATTGAGCTCAGACGGTGGGCTGACCTTATGGTGGTGGCACCTCTTGATGCAAACACGCTGGCAAAGCTTGCGAATGGCATCTGTGACAACCTGCTGGTGAGTAACCGGTGCTCTGCCTGAGAGTTCTCTCACCTCCCAGTGTTAGACTGTCTGACCTTTCTTTCATGGAAAGTCTTATGTTTCTGCAGCATCAAGGACAGTGAGATTTGCATGTTCTGCTCCCACTTCATATGCTTGTCTCTCTCTTCCGATAGTATGGTTCCCCTATTCCTTCTCAAACAGTTGTTCTTTTCTTCCCTGACCTACATCTTTTTCCACTGCTTGGCTCCATCAGGTTCTTCCATTATTTCCCAGTCTCTGCTTTGTGCCTTTCCTGCTTTTTCTGATGGGTGGTTATTTCTTTGTTTCTAACTCCACCCTCTCTCTGTCATGCATGTACACACACAGGCGTGCGCACACACACTTGCACTCACTTTTGAGTTCCTCTCTGCGTTTTTTAGATGCAATCTGGAAAGACACCTGTGAGATCAGATAAAATTGTTTACTTCCTGCTGCCTCACCTCCTCCCTCACCTAACTGCATAGCACAGAAATTCGAACATGCTCACACTTACTTACCTTCCATTTTCAGCTACAGGGGATTTTGCTTGTTCAGGCTTGTTTTTCTGGTATTAAAAGTGCTCCGGCTCAAAGGCTGATCAGAAAGTGTATTAAAAGAGTGTCCTTCTCTGTTGGGTTATGGGGACCTTCAGCCAGGCTGAATGCTTTGTGTCTAGTCATTAGGTCTTCATTAGGAGAAGTCATAAGCATTAGCCACCCAAAAGATCTGCCAGAAAGCTGCAGATCTGCAAATGTTGCTGTGGTGCATCACCCCTCAATAATGCCAGGAGGCTAGAACTAGGAATGGAGGGTAGCACATCAGCTCTGGCCAGGGAGCCCTGCATGACCAACTTAGCTGTTCAGGTAAGAGGAAGTGCATATGAACAAACAAAAGTACACCCAGAGCAACAGCCCTCATTTGTGTGAGTAGATCACTGGAGATCTGAGAGAAGCCAGAAAGAGCTGTGGGAGGGACAAGCAAAGTCTTGTCCTTCTGGGTCCCCTTGGTATTGTAGTAGATGTGATGGTGGTAGCAGGGGGAAGAGCTCAGGAAGGATGTTAGGGAGGCATGGCTTCACAAACTCCTGCCAGTCTTTTTGGAGAGCCTTGTGGTGGGAAGAGGTAGCTCCAGCAAAGCAAAGCAAGTGCTGGAGGTGCTGGTTGGCAGGTTAGAACAGATTCTAGCAGACTTTCCTGTGCTGGGAAGGGTTCAAATCACAGGGCATAAAAAAGGATGGGCAGGGTTCTCATGAGTACTTTGTGATCTGAGCAGCGACCCTGTACTGGGGACTGTTGCTACCTGGGAAGTTACCTTTGCATGATTTAAATGCTGCTAGGCCTAGGGAAACTGATGGACATTGCATTAAGAGCAACTAGCATTTATCTTTTTAAGGACATGAGGTGATACTGGGTTATCTGGAAGTTATGTGTTGCTGAGGAGTCAGATATGATTCCCTGTAGCACGCAGGAGCTGCTAGATGGTTTGTAATCTGCCAGCATCTTCTGCAACAGCCCAGATGTGTTCATCTTATCCTCTGTTTGTGTCCTGGAAGCAGCAGTGCTTCCCCCTGTGAGGACTTACAGATCCAGTTGGCATATCATTTGAAAAAGGCTCACTTGCCAACTTTTTGTGTTTAGCTCTACAGCTGGCTTATCTGAAGTGTTGCCTGGGGATTTCTCTATAGCTGATATGATCTGTGGCCACCCCTCAGCTTCTCTCAGTCTCCCCCATGGGCTGGCAGTCTGCACGCATCATGTTCCAGCTTGGTTTGCTCCAGCGATTGGGCTGCTTGCTTGGCCCCATGCCAGAGTAGGATGGGAATCTATCCTTTTTGTTGCTTCCCTCATCTTTCTTGCCTGTCAGAGATGAGCTTTGCTGGAATATAATACAAATTAGTATCAGCCCAGTGGATCTGCCTGTGGGCTAGTCCAGCTGCACTGACAGATTGAGGCTTTTGGCCCCTAATGACACACAGGCTGGGAAAGCGCTTCTGTGTGGCAAAGTGATGAGAAGGAATGAGGAAAGACAACCCATCTCAGAGCTGAACCTCTTGGCTTCTCTTGCAGACTTGTGTCATCCGTGCTTGGGATCTGAGCAAACCTCTGCTCTTCTGCCCAGCTATGAACACAGCCATGTGGGAACATCCCATCACAGCTCAGCAGGTGGAGCAGCTGAAAGGCTTTGGCTATACAGAGATCCCCTGTGTGGTGAAGAAACTAGTGTGTGGAGATGAAGGTCAGTCCTTTTGCATGTCTTCTGACTCTTCCTGCACGAGTGCTGCTCTTATCCTGAAGGGATGTACGTTCTTTTGCTGTGTAGCCTTGTTGTGAAAGAGGTTTTGTTACACAGCTTGGGTTTAGCAGCAATTTAGGATTTATTAATATTTTTGAGATAGATCACAAGATTAGGTTGTATGACTTTAACAGTACCTAATTTTGAGCCAATTTAACAGAGTGATTCAACGGAATTTGTTACAATCAGATTTGTGACTTAGTTAAATATTCAAAAATGGCAAGGATCACCCCAAACTTACAGCAGGGTTGGAGGTTAAAGCAAATCACACACACGCACGGACAGATAGAACAGTTCTGAACCAAATCACAGAGACAGGCAAAATAGTTCCAAACCAAACTGCAAATGAACATACACAGATACAGACACACAGAGGTTAACCTTCAATTAAAATTTCCCTCTCGTGAGTTTCACAAATTACTCACTTTTATGTGCTGACATTCATCAACAGATGGTCAGTAAACTTTGCAAAATCTGGCCTTTAAGTCCTAGAGAAATCATCGACGGACAATCTTCAATCCTCACGAAATCTACCCGGAGAGGTGTCCCAGCTCAGGGGGAGGTACTGGGTCACACAGCCTGCTACAGTCCCCAGAGAGCTGAAAGGGTCTCTCCTTGGATCGCTATTTATAGGGTCTCGAGATGATTGGCTTTGCTCATTGTTTTACATTCTGGTCACAATTTGTGCTGAGTCATCCTGATGTACCATTCAGGGAGCAGATAGCCCAGGTGTGGCCAGGGGGTGCCTGGCGCCCGTAAGTCTCTGCACTTGCAACCAAGATAACAGCACAATGGGAGGTTTTCCAGGCATGCATGGCTTATCCTGAAATATCAGGGTGGTCCTGATGTGCCATTCAGGCAGCAGATGGCCCAGGTGTGGTCAAAGAGTGCCTGACACCCTTGTAATGAAGGTAACAGCACAATGGGAGGTTTTCCTAAAGCATGCGTGGCTTATCCCGAGATCTCAGAGTGGCCCGGGGCGGGGCGCTACACCACCACAGGCCTTCAAGATGTTGAACTGTGGGGAGCAGGTACTTATCGCCAGGGTTTATTCAAACAAACTGAAGCTTTGCCCTGTGCTAGCTGATATCTATTATTATTGTTCATTAATTTTTAAGTAGTCTTAAGAGACCATCCAAGCCAGGCTTTCAAATGGGCCGTTAGATAGGCCTGTTATTTAAAAGAAATACTCATTCAAGAAGAGAGTAGATCAAAGAGAAGGAAGGCTTCGTGGTGAGTGTTATCAGCCTGGGATTTGGGTGTCCTGACCTTGCTGTCTACTGTGACTGTGGGCTGTTTTCATCGTGCCTCAGTTCTTCATCTCTAACATAGGGATAATATCTTATCCCAGAGAGCAGACAATGAGAATAAGCGCTTTGCAGACGTGGCTGAGGGTGTAGCTGGATGTGCATTTAACATTTGTTGTTGTTTGTTGCCTGGGTTACTTTTCAGCTTCCCAATTGAGTTCTGATTTGGGGTTTTGACATCAGACTTATCTGTGAAGTGAAAGAGAGGGGTAGGGAAAGCTGTCATGCTTAGTTTCAGAAGACTTAACTTGCAGTGCTAAGAAATACTACTAAAATGGTCTCATTTGTATTTTAGGACCTGCTTTAAAAGGAGGTATTTTGACTTTTGGAAGGTTTTGAGAAGGGCTTTTATACAAGCAATTTGGATGAATGGATTCACTTTTTAATCAAAATTTTCTTGGACAAATTGTCTGTAAAACATCACCCAGTTCTAGCCATAATAGCAAATGTGCTATTACCTGCACAGTAGTATACTCGTACTTCTGTTTAACAACCCCAACTCCAGCAGGATTTTAACCGTTCTGTCAGATAGTTCAATAAACAGTCTGTAGCGAAGACAGGATGTTAAAATGTTCTTCATGGTTAAATTCTAGGGCTGGCTTAGTTTCTGAATTCTTCGGTAGGTGCAGGGTTTCTAGAGAGTGTTTTTTTGGAGCTGAAGACTAAGAAATATTTACAGTTAGGTAAGTGTAGTCAAGTAACTCAGGCATCAGTTGAAATATCCTGGACAATTATGCCCCCGCTGGGATTTTAGACCTGATTACATCAAATTTCTTACGTACTTGTAATAATGTTAAGGGAAAACGCCCAAAAGAGGTCATTCTGCGCAGACGTTTTGGCAGAAGTGGAAGGGCCATCTGGCATAGCTTCTTTGTCCTTTATTTTTTCCCTTCATCTTTTTTAGTATGTATATAGGATCTCTATTCCTGTAGTAAGCAGCTGAGTGCCTCCTAATGGGTCATATGCTTATTCTTGCAGGTTTATGCACCTGAGGCAGAGCTGTGTTGTTGTCATCCCTGTTTCATAGATGGGGACCTGAGATGCAAAAGGGCCATGTGAGTTGACTCACCAGCACAAATGGATTAGAGTTGCATGGTGAACATGATTTCCACCTTCTGCTGCTCCACCCTGCCCCTTTGCTTGAGGGTTGCTGCCCTTGCGACAGGGATGTGTGAGCCACATGAGAAGCAGCATGTGAATTGCTGTGGTTGGTAGCTCAGAATGGCAAAGTAAACCAGCACTGATCAGCAGTTACCTCATTCCACCAGCAGTCATTTGGGAGCTGCTTCATACTCAGTTCAGCTGTCTCTACTGTGAGAACAAACTCCTGAAGGAGCTTGTAGGAGAGGGATGGTACGGACAGCTGGGGCAGTAGTAGCCACATCTGACTTGACTCCGCTTGTGTTTGTGAGTCAATTCACAACAAGATTTTCCTGTTGGCAAATTCCAGGATTTTCCTGGCAGTATGTAGGCTAATTATGGCAAAGCAGTTGTTGTGGTTTAACCCCAGCCAGCAACTAAGCACCACGCAGCCGCTTGCTCACTCCCCCTCAGCAGGATGGGGGGAGAGAATCAGAAGGGTAAAAGTGAGAAAACTCGTGAATTGAGATAAAGACAGTTTAAAAATTGAAATAAAATAATAATAACAACAATAACAATAATAATAACAAATTGTAATGAAAAGGAAGATAACAAAGAGAGAGAAATAAAACCCAAGAAAGACAAGTGATGCAAATGAAAACAATTGCTCACTACCAACTGACCAATGCCCAGCCAGTCCCCGAGCAGCAGCCCCCCAGCCAGCCTTTCCCCTAGTTTTATTGCTGAGCATGATGTCATATGGTCTGGAATGTCCCTTTGGTCAGTTGGGGCCAGCTGTCCCAGCTGCGTCCCCTCCCAACTTCTTGTGCCCCCCCAGTGTGAGAAGCAGAAAAGGCCTTGACTCTGTGTAAGCACTGCTTAGCAATAATGAAAACATCTCAGCATTATCAACACTGTTTCCAGCACAATTCCAAAACATAGCCCTGTACTAGCTACTATGAAGAAAATTAACTCTATCCCAGCCAAAACCAGCACAGCAGTAATGGACTCCAGGTCTCTGAAGACCCAAGATAGTCTCCACCACTTTTTCCTCTCTTCTCCTCTGTTTTCAGGCCTTTCACCCCAAGGCTTCTTCTTCCACACTAATTTCGGTTTTGTGGGTTTCATCCACAAAGGCATTTGCCCAGCTTTTACCCAGGCAGCAGGTAGCAAAGCTCACACATCTGGTGCAGAAGAAAAGAAATTCAGTTTGCATCAGTTTTGTCTGTTGACATTGTGGTTTGTCTTGCTGTAAAAGAGGTTTATCTTCCTCAACTCATGTGGCTGGTCTCACCTGAAATGGGCAAGATTCTGACTGCCAGTGAGTTTCTGCATTACAAGCTTTACCTGATTAATTTTTCTTCTTTAGTAAATGGGTGGTTTTAGACATAGAGTCCAGCTAAAAGAGAGTTAAAATAAATTAAATTGAGTTGATAATTAAAATGTTTCCTTGATTGGATAGTTAAATGTAGGTTACCAGCTGTTGGCCTTGATGATATCCACGTGCCATGATATAAAGAGGCTTTGAGAGGTGCTGTACCACACATGGGCCTGCAGCAATTTGCCTTTGCAAAAACGTTTCCAAACTGCTCGTACCTTCATTATCCTTGGCTGCATTTCTGAAGCCTGGCACACTGAAAGATAGAAATCAACCTGTAGGCATGAGCTGTGCTGTAAGACAGGCTGCTTAGCAAGATTTTGCTCTGCTAAACCTAAAAATCCAGCTGTGAATTGCCAAAGATGTTGAGGAAGTGGGTGGTGGAGGACAAAGGCAGGCCTTGGAAATGTTCTCCAAGGGTGTAGCTCTGCCAAACTGTGCAGAGGCAGGCAGGGAATTTCTCCTGCTTAGCAGGACCTGTCAGCTGCAGCTCCTCTCCTCAAGGTTAGGAGATCAGAAGGGCCCAAATCTGCCTGCAGCTCATCCATGGGATGCTTCAAACCTCCTGGGATTTACAGATCTGAAAAAGGCATAGTGGAGAAGGAGTCTTACTTTGCAAGGAAACACAATTTTCTCGACCTTCCAAAAGTATCATTCTTCATCACAAATCCTCAGTTATATCCAGTTATACCTTCTGTCCCAGACAAGGCTCAGGTAGCTCATCTGTACTGGAAAACTGAGGGTCCGGGCAGATTCAGGCCTGTAATCTGCCCAGAAGAAAACACCTCTCCCTGCTGGTCAGGATGACTTTTCCCCTTCCCCTCTGCCTCCTGCCTGCTCTCGAGTTGTTACTGTTCTTTAGAGGCTGCTGGTTTAGCTGTTCATCTGTGCGCTCGCTAACCTAGCTGTGGAAGCAGACCAGAAAAAAAGAGGAAAACAAAACCTCCCAGGACTAATTTCTGATGACCAATAAGGCACGTATTTTAAATTATTAGAGCAATTAGCCAGCAGAACAAAAGATCAACAGAGACTCCATCTTTTCAATCTTCCAGTGGAGACAAATGCTAGTGGGAGAAGTATCTTTCCTCAGTCCCAAACAAATTATAGGAGTGAATGGACTGAGTTCTGAGTGCTGAGTTCAGTACACAAGGTTGGACAAGATGATTTAATGATCTCTGGCCTTAAAATTCTGAACCTAAGTTTAAAAAGTATTGCAGAGGGAAGCAACAGCGCAGCATAGATTAGATGTTCATCTGGCAACTAACCAGTCTGAAAGGAAAAGCTTTTACATTTTGTTCTGTCCAGCACTCAGTCTTCTCCAAGAATTATTCCCAAGATTCAAGCTGGTGTGAATCCAGGACAGCTTTCTCTAATGTGGGTCTAACTGCAGAGTCATGGGAATGGTATGAATTCGGCAAGTCTTTTTTATAGGCAAAGGCTGTTTCAAAAAGATACCAAACACACACAATGTTTACAGTGGAGAAAGGAGGTGAAATAGGGTATTTTGCTATCCACATGCTTTTTGGGGGCACTTTTGCACACTTGCCTCCAGGGCAGTGTGATCTAAGATAGTAAGTCCCTGTGCGGTCAAGGGTTAGATGCAGACACTTCTGGAGATGATTCAGAACATGAGGTACTTATTAAGGTCATATGAGTTGCCTTTTGAGGTTTCCTGCCTCTCTTCATTGACTGTCTGAGGAGCTTGTACTCCTGCTTAGACTTCAGAGTTAGGAGCCAAACTAAGTTAGCATGAACACTCTTCTCGCTCTCCTCCCCTGATGGCATTCAACTGTGCCACAAAATCCCTGCAGAACCAGGTGGACTGAGCAGATCCTCTGGCCTCCACAGTTGCTTTCTGTTGGGCGAGTCACGAGGAAACATGTGGGGATACTTGGTGAGCTTTGCTGTGCTGTGCCACTGTTGTGCATCTCATTTTCCACAGCAGTATGGCATGTAGAGAAGAGAGGTGCTGGGACAGGGAAGCACGTGCCTCATGCTGTCTCTGTGGGACCTGGATTTCACCATGTGGTTTTGCTCTTAACCCTGCAGGTCGAGGTGCCATGGCAGAAGTGTGGACCATTGTGGAGAGCGTGAAAAGGATCCTTGAAGAACGGGACTTGTCAACGCAGAGCTGATGGTTTGGCATGTAAATTGTATTTGTGTGCCTCCATGATGATTTGAAGATAAAACCAACAGGAAGCTGAGTCAAGATGGCATGTGTACCTATAGTGTGCTCTTCAACCGAAAGAGTCAAACGGTTGTCTTCCAGCTGGTGCCAAACTGAAATGTGGTACATCACTGCAGACTTTCAGAAACCAAAGCCAAGAACATGCTGCTTTAGTGTGGGAAAACCCTGTGGTATCTCACAGAGAGGGAGTAACGTTCCCCTAGGCCACTCGGCCCCCAGTATTTCACATGTACTCCTTTCCGAGGAGGCTGCAGAAGGATTTGCCAATGTATTTCAGGTCCAGTGGTTCCTCCAAGAGCTGCCAGAGAGGAAAGTGCTGTGCAAATCCTGGTGATGGGGATAATGCCAGCCCCTTCCAGCATGACAGTGTGGGGACATCCCTGCTCTCCAAAGCCTGGTCCGTAGCTGTGCTGGCTTCACCTTTCCAGCAGGAGTCACTGTCCAAAAAGTATTTGCCCTCCAGAAAATTAATAAAAGAGAGCTTTTAATTCTGCCCCTGAAGAATTGCCTCTTGTAGCTGCTCTGGGGGGTGTTTGCACCTAACGTCATTGCTAAATTGTTGCGTCTGCCTGTGTTTTTTATCAGAGATGGGAAAAAAAAATTACTGAAAGAAGCTATCTAGTCCTCGAATTAGCCTTTGCCCTTTTGTATCTGTTAACTGGATAGGGATGCAGACATCAACCGTGAACCAAAATGACACCTGCCCATCCGGGTGCTCCAGTCAGGAAATGAACAGGCTGGGCCCTTGTGGAAAGCCAGGGTGGGTGTTTCCCAAGGGAGAGAAGTCAAACTTTGCCTATGATGATCCTTTTTGGCTTGAAAATTAACTGACTGGCATGAAAAAATTGGGAAATCCTGTAACCTCTTGGGCCAGACCGGCCAGGGCTCCCCCAGTCCAGCCTTTCCTTGGAAATGTGATCCTGCTCCTGAGGGTAATGGGAGCAAACTGGGGCTGTTGAACATGTTGCCGTAGCAGAGCACTGCTGACCGAGAGAGTTTATTTTTAACTAGACCCAGTCAAATTTAAGGCCTTCAGTACAGAACGTGCATCCTGCCTATGGTGGCAACCTTCAGACGGCTACGCAGGAGGGAAGAGGTTATCGGACTATATTTGCTTTCCTTATCTATTCCACACAAATAAAAACCTCTGAACTTTCCCATTTTTGGCTCTTCCACCGACAGAGATCAGGGGATTCAGAGCTTCTGGGGATCCAGTCAGAAGGATCTTCATGTGAGCAGAGCTTGTGGCTCACATGATGGGCTGTAGCAGTACCCTAGTCGTGAACTTTGCATTTTGCCAGTGAAGTCTTTGAGGTGTGACCTGCATCGTCTGTTCATGTTCATAGCATGATGAAAGCTATCCACCTATCAGAGGATCTTCTTTAAGCTTATTGAAGGCAGTAGAAGAGAAGCTTCTTGGTTTCCATGAGTTTTGTAGTGAACTTTGTTTCTCCTACTTACAGAGAAATATGTGTTCTGGCAGTTGCAGCTGTAACTCGACCTTGGGGCTCTGCTCTGGCTCTGCCGTGGATATCTTGTGCGGTTGGAGTTGCTTATCCTTCCTCCTAGTCCGTGACTTGGCAATGCAGAAAATCTGACAGTAAGGTTCCTCATACCAGGTCAAAACACAATGTCCTTGATAAGAGTGTTCATCTGTTACAAGTCTCGTTTGCTGGCTTAAGCTACTCTGGAAACGTTGGCAGGTATTGCCTAGCTTCTTTTGGCACTGGAGAGTGGGCAAGGTGGTGTACAGTGTACGCTGCAGAGCACAAGCTCTGATAATTCAGCAGAAAGGGGGTAACGTGGCATTTTTAGATAGAGAGTTTATGCCAGGTCACCTGATCGCACACCGAGCTGACACCAGTCTAAGTGGGCTGATCTGTCAGGCAGAAAGAAAACTGCGAAGGCTACAGAGTTGCCTCTCAGGCTTGTTGAGAGGCTTAAATTAAGGCCTGCAATGAACTTAAAGATCCCTGAATAAAGGGAGTTAATTCTTTGTCCTGCAAATATGTAGGGCAGCAACACAAATGTATAGCTGAGCAGAACCTGAGGGAATGAGGGGAGAACTTTTCACAGCTGCTGAAAAACCCACAAAGAAAACTCCTCTGTAGAGGACACCGCTCCCGGTCTGTCTCATCTCTGCTGCAGAAACAGATACTAATTGTGCTGCTAAATGATCCTCTGCATAATTGCTGTGATTTCTAATTGGAGGCAGGTCATGATAGCTTTACAGTTTGGGGTAAACCCATGCTTTGGGGCAAATAGAAGAAACAGTTAAGTTCCTTTTCAGAGGCAGAGGGCTGAAGCAAGAGCAGCTTCCACCCCTAGCGCAGGCACGCATCCCCACCCACGGGAGGTAGGTGCAGGCAGCCTGGGGGCAGGAACGCTTCACTGGCTGCTTGCTGTGGAAAAGCAGCAGAAAGAGACACCGGAGGAAGCCCTGTCTGCCATCACATGAGTTTGGCCTTAGGAGGGGACTTTGGGACAATGCCATGCTAGGACAAGGCTTGGGGTGATGAGTGAAGGGCCTGATTCAAAACTAGGGCTTTGTGCAGGTTCGGTAAATAGGCAGTGCCAGCCTTGCTGCTGTTGAACCAGGACAGCTGGGCTCCACTTAGCCGCTGAGGTCGCCAAGAGATGTTGAATGATGAATTCCTCGAGGCAGACAGACTCATCTCCATCCCATGGAGTTTTGTGTATGTTTCAGGTTTGCAGGGGAGACCCGAGATGCTGCCTGCATGCTTTTTCTTTTCCTTCAGCTCTTCTCTCGAAGCCGCACGCTGATTTTTTGTTTCTGTGAAAATCTCTGATGACCGAGGCAGCATCCCTGTGAAACCTGCTGTGTTGCACTTTCATTCATGCTGCTTAAAACTGTTTCTCTCAGCACTGGCTTGGGAGCGATAAACAGCTGGGACAAAAGCTCAGCTAAGGCAGCAACCCTCCTCCTTTCCTGTGCTTAGACCTAGCCTCGCCTGGGCTCGGATGTGAATCTGAGCACCCATTTCTCTGGCTGCTTCCCCCCATCCCAAACTTGTGATCCCTTTGCTGCTTGGCTTCGTGGAGCACTGGAGGAGGATGGAGATGCTGTGGTGCTGCTTTGCATCCAGATGGTCTGGCTCCGAGTGCAGTGCTTTGGTCAGGAGTTGGCTCCCCAGATGTCAAGTCCCTCTGCTGTCACTTGGCATGGGAGGTGCGTCATCCCACGTGCTTGTCCCATCCCACGCCTTTGTCCCGGGAGCCTGCAGCAAGAGTAAAGGCATGTGAACTCAAATAAAAGAAGTGATAAAACCTCCCCACTTTTAGACTTTCGAGCAGTCACGTCTCTGCGACACACCTGGTTTCGAAAGCCTGTGTGCAGCGGCTTCACACCCCGGGGCTCCGGATTTGACACCTGCCTGCAGCGAGCCGGGCGGCGGGGTTCGCACCTCCGTGGCGCTGCCGGCCGCCCGGCGAGCGGGGACGCCGCCTGCTTTGTATCTTCGAAAGCGTGGGGCAGCAGGAAGCGTTTTTTTTCTTCCCCGACCACAGCGGGGCTGGGTGCTGGGAGAGGGCGATGGCGATGGCTGCCAAGCGAGGGGTGATGAATTGGTGGTGGCAAGTGAGAACGTGGGGGTGCTCATACAGATGGGCTTTCCCTGCTCTGGCAGAATTAAAAATACCCAAATAAAGCCCTGAGAAGTGAGTCTTCCTTCTGTAAGGTTTACATGGTGATTGCAAGACTAGTTATTGATTATAGAGAGATTGCAAGACTATGGCAACATGGGATTACTCCTGCAAAGATGGACCCTGGTGAGCTTGGCGAGCTGCGGGGTTCGCCGGTGCTGCAGCCCCCCACCCTGCCCTACTCCCCATCCTCAGCCCAGCGACTCACAACCTCTCTTTGAGTGACGGGCAAGTACTTTTTGAGTGGAAAAGGGAGGTGGTTCCGAGGTCTCAGGCTCCAGACCGCTGCTATTAACAAAGGAACTGCTGATCCACCTATTTGTAACCCACTGCATTGTAGACAACTGGCTTTGGGTTTTATCCTGTCCACCGCGAGGTCACAGTGTGTCCGTTCAAAGCCACACTGTTACACCTGTGGCAGGGCCACGGGGCTGAGAAAGATGGAGGGTGAGCGCCAGCCGTGAGAGAGGTCACTATAAAATCATATATATTTGATTTTAACCTGCCCGTAGGTGAGTCGGGGCCTTTGCAGAGCCTTTCACAGCATCAGCCACCATCTTGCTTCCCCGTTAACCCTCCCTCGCTTCAGACGTATGGCAGCGCTGTCTCATGCTGACGGGATGGTACTGCACGGATGGCTCCTTGCATCAAACAGGGGAACGATGCCCCCACCTCCCTGACATCTCTCTTCCTAGACTAAACCCAGGGTAGCTGCAAATCCGGCTCCCTGCGAGTCTCTGGTCACATTCAGCAGGTCCCGTAGCCCCGCGGGTGCCATCGGCAGCCCCGAGGATCTCCTGGGCTCTCTGAGGGGTCAGCGCTGTATCTCTGCCGGGGAGATGGTTTGAGATTTTCAGATTCTGACTCCTTTCTGCTGGCTCATCGAGGGTCCTGCTCTGCTTCCCCTTGGACGTCAGGTGTTTGTGCTGCGAGCGGAGCCGGAGGAAGGGATGCGAAAGGATCACAGTGGTCCTGGCCTCTGCCTTCTTGGTTTTGCTTTCCATCTGCATCAGTTTTTCTGCCTCGCCAACCTTCCCAGCTCAGGAGACGTTAGAAAGCAGCTGAGCTGCCCCGGCCTGCGATAAGGCCAGTGCCGAAGGACCCGACATTGCTTGGCACAGACTCCTTGGCACCAACTACGCCGATAACTTGGCTTCAGCGGTGACAACCTTGCAATTAAAACTTGCAGGTGCAGTGTTCTTGCCCTGGCCGGCAGCCTCGGTGAATAGTTTAAAAATTGTTTCCAGGAGTAATTGAGCTTAATTAGAAGCTTGAATTCCCCGAGGCTGTGCTGCTCAGGGTTTCTGCACTTGTTGGGGAGTCATGCAGGGGCTGAAGATGCTCAGAGATGCACGGAGCGGGGAGAGAAATAATCCGAGCAGGGCAGTTCCCTGCTGGGTCTCACCCTGTTTGGGTTTTTGTTTGTAGGATGTCATGTTGTCCTTCAGATGGAGACTGGGATTTGCTTCTCTGAGAATCCTGGCTTTGGCGTTGTACCTCACTTTTCTGTCTCTCTGGGGAGAAAACAGAGGATAAAGGGGACAGAACCAGGAGAAAGCCTTCATGCTGGCCAGGGGGATGAAGAATAAAGGTGACTTTTAGGCGTGTGGTCATCACAGTTAAGATCAATCTGATCCCGACCACAGGCTCCTGGGCTCTCTGGAGGGAGTACAGAGAGATGGGCTCTGCCCCGGAGACTCATAAAATCAGGCTCCATCTAGTGCAATTGCAGACACCTCGGTCTGAAAGCTGGGAGAGCCTGGTGTGCTCCTAGCCCCTGGAACAATGGCGTGCAGCCTCCGGCAAGTTATCGATGGCCGGTGCCA